GCTCTCACTGGTCCAGCTGAGCGTATTTCTGACGATCTTGTGGGCTTGTTGTGGTGATTGTACGTGCGCTTCCAACAGTTTGAGGAACTGTAATTATAAATCACTACGAGTTTCGAAACAATAATATTATATTTGTATGTAATTAATCAACTTCAATCTTTAACATTGGGCATATATTTCACATCTTCTGATGCATTGTCTTGTCACTTCCAAACTCGACTACTGTAATTCACTATATGCCAACCTCTCAAATAAATCACTCCAGAAACTTCAAAGAATCCAAAATTCTGCAAGATTCACCCACACTCATCGTCATGACCATATCACCCCAGTACTACAGTCTCTACACTGGCTCCCCATCCCTGCAAGAATTACCTTCAAAATCCTCATTCTGACTCATGACTGCCTCTACAATGATAACTTTCCTGACTATCTCAAACATCTCATCTCTCTGTATGTACCTCAGTCTCCGATCCTCCACTGGCTCTCTTCTAACCCAACACAGATCTCCAAACCAACTGTCTGACCGAGCCTTCTCCTGTGCCAGCCCTAAACTGTGGAACTGTCTTCCTAAGGAAATCAGGAACATTTCATCGAAAGAAGGGGCGGCGGGGTAGCTTAATGGTTAAAGCGTTGGCTCGTCACGCCAAAGACCCAGGTTCAATTCCCCACATGGGCAAAATGTGTGAAGCCCATTTCTGGTGTCCCCCGCCGTGATATTGCTGGAATAATGCTAAAACCGGCGTAAAACTAAACTCAGTCAGTCAGTGATCGAAAGAAACTTTTAAATCTCTGCTAAAGACCGATCTATTCACTGCTGCCTTTCTGTAAATATATATGAACTATTTCCTTCACCAATATTGTCACAGCGCCACTGAGCATCTCTATGGTGGATATTAGGCGCTTTATAAATACATTATTATTAATATTATTATTATTTATCTCTGGGAATATTTTAGTCTGACCTTTTTGGTCATTCATATAGTTTTCATCGAATTCATTTAAAATTCCACATGGGGTATGACAGCAAGATTACACGTATGTTCAGTTTGAGAAAAAAATTAAAGTCATTTTTGAGTTTGAAAGCGCACCATGTTTGTTTTCGTACATGTAACACGGCTCAACACTGGTTTTCTGTGGGTTTGTGTCGACAATAATGAACCATAACACTTGAAATTACAACTCGTGAATATTCATAAATCATGTATTTTATTCGGCAATTTTCATGACATGACACGTTGGAATAAACGTAATAGTGTCATTTAAATAAGATATGTGATGAAATAGAAATTAGACGGTTTGTTTACGACGAACGTTTTCGATTATTTGTTTTCAGAAATGTGTTTTAATTTGTCGTTGCGCTGATATTTGCCAATACAAATATACGAATTTAAAGTAAGATAATTATGAGATATCGGAAATAAGAATATTGAAACAGGTTTTCGCTATTTTAACGATTTATTCAGGTTCCTTATATGAAACGCATTCTTCTGTCAATCAAGGAACTCAGGTAAATTCAGGACAATTAACATTACTTATGTTTGCCTTGTCATTAACCTCTGTATGTTTGAAATTATCAGGAAATTTTTGGATAATAATGTTAATACTATCCAGTATTAATGTGCCAGATCTTTTTTCAGTTGTCCCTTATTTAATGGCACACCGACTGTTTGAAATCACCCACCCTCTTAACAACGCCTTATGCTGAAATTAATTCAGCAGGATAAAGGCTAAAGGAGCGGGTCCATATAAATCCTTGTAAACCAAACATGTGAGGGAAGCTGACAGTATTCACCTGCAGGTTAATAGGCTCCCTGTAGCTCTCGTCTGAGGCAGTCTGCAGCTTCTCGTGGATCCAACTCTCGAGTTCGTCAGCATCTCTCTTGAAGTACTGGTAGCGGCGGGAGTCCTCAAGACGTTCCCGGCGGTCCCTGCAGCTGAACTTGAAGTTGCCGTAGCGGGACAGAACTTCATCTCTCCGGTTCTGAATGTCCTCTGCTGTCTCGAGGATTTTGATCTCGCGAGGCTGGACCTCTGTTGTCGACATCTCGTGGATCCAACTCTCAAGGTTAACGACTGTAAAGTTAGTTTTCAGGTTTCATGACAAATGTCCTTGAGCCCAATCAAATTCGAGTATTTCAGGTAGAATTTATAGATTTTGTGATGGAAAATGTTGAAACACATTATTATATGTGCTTGTCCCTTTGTGGGTGTGCTTTTTGAGGAATATATGAGATCAACCAGATCCATCTTATTTATACGACCATTTTCTTGTACGTGATCTTTTGTGGTGAAGTTACTCGGGAAAATGTTATTCTTCATTAAAAGTTTGTGTGATTTGACATGAAACGTGTGTTTCATTTGTTAGGTTTGGCGGGGACGTATTTTAATTGTATGATGGCGTCGGCCCCTTTGTCTGAGGACCTGTGAAGGTCCGGGTTAGAATGAGCATTTAGTAACCCATGCTTGTGGTAAGAGGCGACTAACGGGATCGGGTGGTCAGGCTCGCTGACTTGGTGGACACATGTCATCGATTCCCAATTGTGCAGATCGTTGCTCATGCTGTTGATCACTGGATTGTCGAGTCCCGACTCGATTATTTACAAACCGCCGCCATATAGCTTAAATATTGTGAGTGCGGCGTAAAACTAAACTCATTCACTCACTTTGTCATAGAAGTTTTAAATTGCTGAGAGTACGTTACATCATGGAGGATACAGATAAGGGAGATGGTTCCACTTATTGCTGTACAAGAGGAAGAGGTCATCTGACATTAGTGCCATGTAAGAGATAAGACAGCCGTTGCATAAAGTGTGTCAGGAGAAATGAAGTTTGAGTCAGCTGATATGGATAAAGTAGTGATATTTTCATTTTGTATTGAATAAACTCCCAGGTCTACTGTCAATACATGTCCTATTAGTAGATAGTTCTTCAACTCCTCGATCCGTGAAGGTCCGGACACATGTCATCGGTTCCCAATTGCGCAGATCGATGCTCATGCTGTTGATCACTGGAATGTCTGGTCCAGACTCGATTATTTACAGACCGCCGCCATATAGCTTGAATATTGCTGAATGCGGCGTAAAACTAAACTCACTTACGCTTCAATGGGTATTCGAGCATTAGTTATTTGCATTGTAAGCTCAAAATCAATAACTTTAACTGATATTGACGTGTAAACAGGATAATGTTGCATCTTAAACATGTAGGATAGTAAATAACGATGTTCCAATCAGAGTTTGCTTGGGAGAAGGAATCTTTGTTTGATAGATGGTGTTCTTTAAATGAGATAAATGTAGATTTTGAGGTAGCTGGTTTTGCTTGTGTCTCAGGAGACATTAGGGCTTGTTTTGATGAGTAGAAAGTGGATCAGTTGCACCAGCCTGCTACTTTGGCAGACTTTTATTCACTTACTGAATGTAATAAACAAGGAAAGGATAGTTCAAGCTCTCCTGGATTTCGTATAAAAATGTCAAAGTCGGGTTCTAAATTCTTGTTTAGAGGCTGTAGACACACTCTCTATTAAAGATGTGGACTTGTTTACTTGCTTACAGAGAATAAGGCATCTTAAACATGTAGGATAAGGGACAAGTCTTTTGGTGATCCAGGTTTTGCAAATTTCGTCTAAGAATATTTCCAGTTACGATTTAGCTGGGACTTTCATGGATCCTTTTCTTCACCTGTCCAAATTTCCTGCGGAGAGTATTCAAAATTATTACAAGTTGGCTGTTCAGGAAAAAGCTCTGGTCAGCTGTTGGTTAAGTTAGAGGGTGGAGACCCAGAATTCAAAGTTATTGCCAATATCTGTTCAGAAGAAACCGACACGGTTCCTCTTTACTATTATTTCAAGGATGAACAAATACAGATTTCGATGAGCAAGTACAGATTTCAGATACAATAGTCTCTATTGTGTAGATCAATGCTCGTGATCACTGGATTGTCTGGTCCAGATACAATTAATTTGGCGCCATATAGCTGAACAAATACTGAGAGCGGCGTTAATACCAACCAACGAAACATTCGTAAAATGTCCTGCACTTGGGAAATGTTAACTAACAGTTTCGCGCGCGCGTGTGTGCGTGTGTGTGTGTTTCTAAAGGGTTCAGTTCAGCTAAGTCTTAAGGATTAGCATTGCTCTCTGCCAACCAAAATCCGTTTTCATTGGCCTTTTGGTACAGCATTGAAGTTCAGAAGCATTTCACGGGACTTGTGGTCAACCTTCAAAGGGTCTACTCCACTCAGTATGAACATCCATAGCAATTTGTTTTTCTCATGTTCTTGGTGGACATAAATGTTCTCAAATATTTGTCAATGATATTCAATTACCAATAACGAAGTTATCATCTTCATTCTGCCGACCACTTACTTCACTGGTAATGTAGTCACCGTCATCATCAATAGACTGTATACAGATGGCTGAAATGAATTATCCCTCTTTGACTGACCTTTGTCGGAAAAAGATAGGTGACCCACTTTCTTGTATTTGTGGCATGTGGCCTCTATGAATCTATAGTAATTTGAAATATGCCCGTCCCAAACTACAGGGATAAACCACATTGTTGTAATTGTTCCAAGGTTTTGTGTAACTCACAGGCTGTGATGTAGTACTTTGAATTTCACTAGTATTCATTTACTGCAGAGTCATCAAGTCTTGCATTTTCATCCACATCCGAAAACGTCAGGCGTTTCTGTTGAACATGATCATGTCTAATGACTGACTGACTGACTGACTGTTTGGTTTTACACGACTTAGGTGGTATGAAGAAGGAGAAAAACCTTCAAATTATTTTTGCAATTTGGAGAACAGAGACTATACAAATAAACTAATCAATAAAGTGATAAATAGTAATAAATGTATAATAACTGATGGAAAAGAAATAAGAAATGAGACACTATATGCAGAGCAATCCGAAACCGACCACGAGATGACTGAAAACATAATGGAAACAATAGATACTCCAGAAATGAAAGATGATTTATTTGATAGACTGGAAGAACCAATTACACTTAAAGAAACAGCAACTGTCGTAAAAAGCATGAAAAATAATGAGTCCAGGAATTGATGGATTTCCAGTAGAGTTCTTTAATTTGTTTTGGAAGGACATAGGAAAATGGATTTTTAGGTTTATTTCAGAAGGGTTTGTGGAAGAAAAGCTATCGGATACTGTAAACAGAGGTGTTACTACTTGCTTACCAAAAGGCAATAAAGATAGAAAATACCTAAAACATTGGCACCCCATCTCGCTATTAAACACTCTTTTCTTGATTCAGTGAAAATTCTTCACCGACGAATCCGAGGCCATGTTGTTTATGACAAACTGGTACTGGATGTCTTTCACAGATTAAGATCTTAAGTACGTGTACGTCATATCTAACAGGTTAAAATCGAATGCATAACGGCGCACCATTTTCACACGTATTTTCTTCAAAGTTGAAAAAGATGAGTGCATATATCCAAAAATGAATAAGTAATAATTCTAAAACTGAATTTTGATTCATGTAAGAAACAAAATGATTTTTTCGTGTACACTTGCCCTTTAAACACACTTTACAAGATCTTAAGTACGTGTATCACCAACAGATTAAAAAACACACTCCAGAATCTCATTGATGGAAATCAAACAGGATTCATACCTGGGCGATGTATTACTGATAATATTAGAAACCTGTATGACATTATATATGAGTTGAAAAAAGAGGATAGACCGGGCCTGTTAATTGTAATAGATTTTGAAAAAGCATTTGATACTGTTTCAAAGCAATTTATTTTCAAAGTGTGAAGAAATTCGGTTTTTGGCCAAACATTATAGAATGGATTAGAATCCTCACTAACAAAGCTAACTCATGTGTAATTCAAAATGGCCACATGTCCTCTTTTTTCAAAACGGGGATGTTGTCAGGGCGATCCAGTGTCCCCATATCTCTTTCTTTTTGTTGCAGAGGTACTTGGAATTATGATCAGAAATAATGTCCACATCAAAGGAATAGAAACAAATAATAATGAACATAAATTAGATCAATATGCTGACGATACAGAACTTTTCCTTGATGGATCTGAGAATAGCTTGAAGACTGCTCTAGATACACTGGACACTTTTCACCAATTTCTGGACTTAAGGTGAATATTGAGAAGACCAAAGCAATATGGCTAGGATCCAAGGCAGGCTCTAATGTAACACTATGTGAAGATAGAAAATTAAATTGCATAAAATCTGACTTCGAAGTATTGGGAATTACTTTAAATTCACAGTTGGACAATCTCTGGGTCATAAATACTAGGAAAAGACTAGAAACAATACATAAACTACTGGCAAACTGGAGGAGACAAAAGTTGACCTTAATAGGTAATATTACTTTAATAAAATCATTGATACTATTTACATTAGTTCATATATTCTCAGCCTTACCAAATCCACCAAAAGAATTTGTTAACAACCTCTATAAGATCCTGTTCAACTTTATTTGGGATGGTAGACATAAATAATTTTATCTCAGCACTAAAAATATCATTTCTGCGACGATATATGAAAAAAGAGACAAGGCTTCTGAACTTTCCGTTCCCAGCTTTATTCTTGGTAGGTGCTAATATCGAGAATTATTTTCTAACAGACAATCCTTTCTGGAAAGACACTTTTTCAGTTTGGAAACACTTATTACTTGCAAAATCATAGCACTCCGTACGATATCCAGAATATCCTTAATGAACCTTTATGGCTTAACCATCAGAACAAAAACCCAAAGTGTTTTATAAAAAGCTGGTTTAAACAAGGAATCACAGCTATAAAGGATGTATGTGGTAACGAAGGCTTTCTTTCATTTATCAAAATTATATAATCAAAATCAAAAAGACCTTAAAGGCACCTTTATTGTCTTTGAAAGTTTAATCAATAATATTCCTGCAGAATGGAGAGTGAAAATAAAAAATAACAACATACTACTCAATAACCTAAGCTTATCTAATCCTCTAATGGACTTGCTTTCTGAATCTAAAGGATGCAGAATATACTACGACAACCTTCACAAAAACGCTGATCCACCTCATTCTTGTCTAAAATGGAACAATGAGTTTAATACTGCTATGAATTGAAAACTTATATATACGCAAACGAGAACCTGTACAAGGACAGTAAATTGTGTGATTTTCAATATAAAGTTTTACAAAGAGTAATATACACAAGAAAAGAACTCCTAAAAATGAAATTAATAGACAAAAATATATACTGTTTTTTGTGAAGTGGAAAATGAAGATATTCATCATGTGTATTGTGAATGTACACACGTTAATAGTTTCTGGAAGCAGGTAGCAGAATTTATGACCAGAAGATGCACTAGCAGAAGTGAACTCCCAAATGAAGTTGTCTTTTTTGGTCTACCCAGATGCTTTGTATTACAAAATCACTTCACAATAACAGTATTAACTAAATATAGTTAAGGACATAATGAAACCGGAAAAATACATTGCAAATATGATCTGATAGCCAACACTTTCAGTAAGAAATGGCTACTTTTGATAAGTATGGATATACCACATTCCATTAACTGAACTTATGATACATACCCAAATTACTGTCTTCACTAATATCATGTTATTAGTAATACTACTTGATATTTACCATAACGTTATTTCTGTACCATGTACTGGGTAATAGTATTATTGCATGATCTTTTGATAAACATTGGTACACCAACTGCCTCTGATTGTCTTATGAGATTTTTGCTACAATCTGATCATATTCTCTTGCACTTGAAAAATACTATAAATTCATCAGTTAACCATTAATAATTTAACTTTTGAAACTATTGATTATCTAGTACCATTACTTGTCATGTGTGATATTTTTGGCAATGTGACTAATCCTTCTCTTTGTATCTATACAGTAACATGAATGTACCTCGTAATGGCACAACGGTATCCATTCGCCTAGAAATTGATATATTACTACCTGACACCTGAATTGGTTTTGCTCGTGAATGCTTTCTCCCTCTGTATTGGAAAAGCTTTTTAACAGGAATACGTATATGCACAATTGTAATAATACTGGAACTATAACTTGCTATCAACCTTTGTCAGTTTGCTTTTTATTAAAGCAAACACTACACCCTGTCCATCTGTACAGCTACGTTGTATGAAGTGCATAGCTGCCTTGTAGGAATTGTATGAACGTATATGCCATGGCATGAACACGTTCTTTATTAAAGCAAACACTACACCCTGTCCATCTGTACAGCTACGTTGTATGAAGTGCATAGCTGCCTTGTAGGAATTGTATGAACGTATATGCCATGGCATGAACACGTTCTTTATTAAAGCAAACACTACACTCTGTTCATTAGTATAATTACCCGTTATGAACCGTATGAACTTGTATGCTACTGTGCAAACAGGTAACCATATACAGTGTTTGCTTTATATTCTACTGTATGAGCATGTTCTTTATTAAAATAAACACTACACTCTGTCCATCAGAATAATTACCCTGTAGGAACCGTAGGAACTTGTATACTACTGTACGAACACGTAATCATATCCAACATATTGTTTTATATACTGCTGTACGAACCCTGATGTACTGAAATATAAACTAAAAAATAAAACCTCAAAAAAAAAGTCTTGTATTTTCATCCACATCCGAAAAAGTCTCTGTTGAACATGATCATTTCTAGTGACTGACTGACTGGGTTTGGTTTTATGCCGCTTTTAGCAATATTCCAGCAACACCACGGCGGGGTACACCAGAAATTAGCTTTAAAACATTATACCCATGTGGGGATTCGAACCCGGGTTCTTCGGCGTGACGAGCCAACGCTTTATCCACTAGGCTACCCCACCGAACCTCATTTCTAGTGAGTGAGTTTAGTTTTATGCTGCACTCAGCAATATTCCAGCTATATGGGGGTGGTCTGTAAATAATCGAGTCTGGACCTGACAATCCAGTGATCAACAGCATGAACATCGATCAGATCATTTCTAAGTAAAAAACAAAGTGATCATGAAATGATGCCAATGTACACCCAACGTCTAAACAAGACAAAAGATTTCCTCTCAAACAGATATGAAACATCAATCTGTTCTCTCAGACATAATTTGACCTCGAGAGACAATGACTGTATACCAGAGGTCACGCAAAATCCTGCCTTAGCGAAGCGATCATATATATTGAACTTTCCGTCAAATTCACAGCAAATGTATCCAATTTACCTCACAAGCAGGGTTTTAGGATGGCCAAAACACACTGTGTCATCGCGATTCTAAGTGCCATCCTAGCAGAAACCACTGATTTGTAACTGGAGGTGACATTACATCAACCTAAAGAGGCCATGAATCAAAACATAAAATGGCAGAAAAAAGTGTGAAATTATTCTTTATTTCAAATATATGAAACAATCAATATGTCAAAAAGATAACTTTCAAAATGCAATTTCTATATTTTATTTGAAGGTTCAGTTATCGTCGGTATAATACAATTAAGCGTTCAGTTGTCTCTTTTGTAAAATACAAATATGTTAATATGCCACGATGTCAGAATATAGATCAATTTCATGCTGTTAGAAGACGGAATGTTAATTTGCCCATTGACATGATTTTTTAAAAGATGGTAAAAACACCTTGATTCCACTGAACATTCAAATGTTGTGTCAATATTTCCAGTAAAAAACAATAGCCTATATTGAAATCCCTCAGTAAAACCCAACAATATATTGATATTCAATTTCAATCCCAAAAATATATGTATCCCAATGAACATCAAACCAATAAGAAATTCAACTTTGATTCTTTCTCAGTATGTGTTGCAAACTTTCTTCTCAAAGTGATCGTAGCGCTAAGAATCGTAACTCCCATTCATAGACTTTGACACAATACGATCGCTTTGAGGAACGGGGCCCTGGAACACAATACCCCCAGATTAAAGAGATTCTTCATCTGGCATATGAAGAAATTGAAGATTTGGGTTTGCGTAAAAGTGTATGTTTTACCGTGACTTGGATAAGCTTGCGATTTCCCATTCTATAAAACACATTAGCAGAATGTATATGTTCAAGGATTAGTTTCCTATTAAGATATACATGTACATGAGAAATCGCACGCTAAATAACATGCATCAAGGCAAATTCATCAACAATTATCCATTTCTCTTTACTTTCAACTGGTCTTGATATCTTTCGACTTGGGGGATACAAGAGTGAGGTTATATGCAACATGTACACTGATTCTTCAAACTTCTTCAGCTTTTTGAACATGACGAAGCAGTATCTTTAGTGTAAAAATGCATCAAACCAAAACATAATTAGTTATGACGAAGCAGTATCTGTAGTGTAAAAATGCATCAAACCAAAACATAATTAGTTATGTCACTTGATTCTGATGCCTTTGAATCGATGACGTCACAATGGTCTGCAGAGCATTGTCATGCAATTTTATTTCTCACCTAAGCGATACATTTCGTGAAAAACTTGTTGACACTTCGTTTTGAATGACAAATCTACCAGATATAATTGTGCATTATCAGGCCCATCCACTGATCACAAACATATATAAATGATGTTCAATATTATTAGATATATCGTCAAAGCAGCACAGAAGCGTGAACGTATTATTGGAGCCACACGTATTATTTAACAATGTGGATTGATTCTTTATAAATGAGGATTGATTCTTCATAAACATGTGAGGTAAATTGATTTGTATGTTTTAAAGTGTATGTATGTTTTATAAAAGAGGAATGACATTAACTTTTTCTTTACATGTCATACTCTTAATAACCTGAGAATTCTGTACATACCAAAAAAGTACTTAAGAAAACCACTAGAAATTGCATTCTCTTCTTTTATGCCCCCTGAAACCTTTATTTTAAACCTGTCATTATATTTAAAGCATGTAGGAATCTTTAGACATAACGTATTGAAAACTATTGTATATACGAACTGATATAAATTGATCCAACACTGCATGTAACGTCAGATTGTGTTAGTTACTGTGCATTTTTTTCACCCGGAATTAATGTAGTCCAACCAGTAGTTATAATTGTCAGGCCAATACATATATGCACCATAGTAATAACATGTCACTGTCGTATCAATTGAAAGAAGGCTTCCTACACCATAATCGTTCATCCAATCTACCAGCATAGGGCAAAGGTCTTGACACTGTTTGCCTTTACGGTCCTCGTCATAGACATACGCATACATGGAATCAGATGTAGTGAATCTACTATTTGAGTTCCAGTTGGATGTATAACAATAAACATAGGGATAATATGTATTGTACATATGCTCAGCATAGTAATAACAGTAGTGGTCATCGATAACGTGTCTTTTCCAGTCTTCTTCTTTAGTAACAGCATTTATTGTAAAATCTTGACAAGCCATAAAATAGAAATAGTCAGGAGCACTGGTTGTTGTACTCGTTGTTGTTGTCGTCGATGTTGTGGTACTTGAGGTCGTGGCGCTCGTTGTAGGCGATGTTGTAGTTGTGCTGGGTGTAGTAGAGCTCGTCGTAGGCGATGTTGTAGTTGTGCTCGATGTAGTGGAGCTCGTCGTGGGGGATGTTGTTGTTGTGCTGGATGTAGTGGAGCTTGTCGTAGGCGATTTAGTGGTTGTGCTGGATGTTGTAGAGCTCGTCGTAGGCGATGTTGTAGTTGTGCTCGATGTAGTAGAGCTCGTCGTAGGCGATGTTGTAGTTGTGCTCGACGTAGTGGAGCTCGTCGTGGGCGATGTTGTAGTTGTGCTTGATGTAGTGGAGCTCGTCGTGGGGGATGTTGTGGTTGTGCTCGATGTAGTAGAGCTCGTCGTAGGCGATGTTGTTGTTGTGCTCGACGTTGTTGAGCTCGTAGTGGGAGATGTTGTAGTTGTGCTAGATGTAGTGGAGCTTGTCGTAGCCGATGTTGTGGTTGTGCTGGACGTAGTGGAGCTCGTCGTGGGGGATGTTGTAGTTGTGCTAGATGTAGTGGAGCTCGTCGTGGGGGATGTTGTGGTTGTGCTCGATGTAGTAGAGCTCGTCGTAGGCGATGTTGTTGTTGTGCTCGACGTTGTTGAGCTCGTAGTGGGAGATGTTGTAGTTGTGCTGGATGTAGTGGAGCTTGTCGTAGGCGATTTAGTGGTTGTGCTGGATGTTGTAGAGCTCGTCGTAGGCGATGTTGTAGTTGTGCTCGATGAAGTAGAGCTCGTCGTAGGCGATGTTGTAGTTGTGCTCGACGTAGTGGAGCTCGTCGTGGGCGATGTTGTAGTTGTGCTTGATGTAGTGGAGCTCGTCGTGGGGGATGTTGTGGTTGTGCTCGATGTAGAAGAGCTCGTCGTAGGCGATGTTGTTGTTGTGCTCGACGTTGTTGAGCTCGTAGTGGGAGATGTTGTAGTTGTGCTAGATGTAGTGGAGCTTGTCGTAGCCGATGTTGTGGTTGTGCTGGACGTAGTGGAGCTCGTCGTGGGGGATGTTGTAGTTGTGCTTGATGTAGTGGAGCTCGTCGTGGGGGATGTTGTGGTTATGCTGGATGTAGTAGAGCTCGTGGTAGGGGATGTTGTAGTTGTGCTGGATGTAGTAGAGCTCGTCGTAGGCGATGTTGTAGTTGTGCTGGACGTAGTAGAGCTCGTAGTAGGCGATGCTGTGGTTTTGCTGGACGTAGTGGAGCTCGTGGTAGGCGATGTTGTCGTTGTGCTGGATGTAGTAGAGCTCGTGGTAGTGGATGTTGTAGTTGTGCTGGGTGTAGTAGAGCTCGTCGTAGGCGATGTTGTGGTTGTGCTGGATGTAGTGGAGCTCGTCGTGGGGGATATTGTTGTTGTGCTGGATGTAGTGGAGCTTGTTGTAGGCGATGTTGTGGTTGTGCTCGATGTAGTGAGACTAGTTGTATCAGGTTTTCTTGTCGTTACAAGAGAGGGTCTGTATAGAAAGGTGTTGACTTGCGGCAAAACAGGAATATCAATGGTGGGTAGTCCTCCTCCTGTGTTAGTGGATTCTCCTGCAATGATAATGTTTGTGTTTTAATTGGATTGGGCAATGACAGATTTCAGTCACAAGAGAAGCTTGGAAGTTTTCAATTGTTGCCGGGATCAATAACTGATATAGATTAACACATATGCGAGGCAGATTATGGTCTTATGGTCTCTATTACACAAGATCTTAAAGACCATATTTAGTATGGGTGCGGGCCTGATGTTATCACAGGAAATGACCACATTTTCTCCACTGTCCACATTTTCTGAAAGTCGGAGCCAACCCATTTTCTAACTACCCAAAACATACTCTCTTTAAACAAAGAAACACATAGACCAAAAATAAGGAAAAGTATTAAACGTATTTAAGTGTAGATAAGTCGATGAAGCGTGAACACAGATGACGAAATGAACATAATATATGTTCTTGTCATTGTCAGCATTAATTCAGTTCACTCACTGCACGTGTGTGGACACAAGGGGGCGTTCAGGTCAGTACCTGCTGATACCACCCGTTGCAGCCCTCACAGCCCGATACTGACTTGGAAGGGAATGCACAAGTCGTCTGATGTTTGCTCGGAGAATTCTTCGCCAATACTCCTGCAAAGCGTTGGGAAGTTCTGCAAGTGTCTGAGGACGATGGTGACGTTTACGTACGCGTCGATCAAGTTCGTCCCAAAGATGCTCGATCGGGTTCAGATCAGGCGATTTGGAAGGCCAGGGAAATATATTGAGGTTTGCATTGGCGAGATAAGCTCCTCTTACACGAGCTGTGGTTGGTTGAGCTTGTCGTGTTGAAACAGCTCCCCCTGGCGAATAAAAGTGGGAGGAGGTGAGGTCGCTGGATTTGGTAGATGTGGAGATTTGCTTTAAGATTGCCTTGAAGCCCCACCAGCTCTGATGTTCTCGTGTAGGACATGGCTACCCAAACCATGACGCTTTCTCAACCAAATCTGTCCACATGTCGACCGCAGTTCAGCGCAAAACGTTCGTGTTGACTTCGATAGACACGTTGTCTCCCATCGCGTCATTGCAGGGGGAAACGCAATTCATCAGTGAACCAAACCGGTTCCATGCCTGTACCCTGTTGCACAATTTGACACGTCGTTGTGGCGTTAGGACAGGTCCAACTTTTGGTCAATATGCTCGAATTCCCACTTCTCTCAGACTATTTCTGATGGTTTGGTCGGAAATTCTTCGAAGACCAGGAGCCTGTCCTGCAGTGTCCGTTGCTGTAGCAAATCGGTGACGTAGGTGAAACACCCAGATAAATCTGTCCTGAGCAGGAATAATCACTCCTGGTCTTCCACCTTTGGGACAATCTTGGGTCGAATTGAAGCGGGTATATCGATGTCATAATCGACATAGAGTGCAATGTGGACGTTTTTCAATGAAGTCAAGTAAGCGCCAGGGACAAGGTAAGTTTAGGTGGGCATGTCTAGAACTTAGTATGTTTTTGGTTCTGTGGACCAAATCAACAAAATATGGAAGCTATCAAGTGGATGTAGTATCAATTTGGTGTACGTCGGAACAATATGTGTTTTAATTTGGCTACATCCAATTGTGATGTTTTATTATTTAAATATCCAAGTTGTTATGCGTAATATAGTTAGTTGATACATGTATACGTTCTTTTGTCTCTATCAGTCAAGTGAATGGGTAGTAACGCAACTGCAGTGTGGTGTACTGGACTTGTTTCAGCAAACCGAACGTTTCACTATCCGAACATTGTTGATGAAAAACGGCACTGTTCGGATGAACGCGATCCCACTGTAGTACTATACACAGACAGACAGACAGACAGACAGACAGTTTATTCAGTATTTAGGCCAAACGACCCATAGTACAGTTACATATTTTCAAAGTTTACTTACATATCACGTTTTACATATATATATAACCCCATTTTTCAGAAAACCAGCAATAGAGGTAATAACATCTTTATTCTTAGAATCTGCAGCAAGAGGCAATTGCCATGTCTTGGATCATTCTCACAACGTTTGCAGAGGCTTTGGGGTTCACATGTGTTTTTGTTTATCGGAGGGTATGTGGAAGTCGCGGTGGCTGAACGGGTTAGGAGGCTGACTTTGAGTGCTGGCGATTAGGTGCCTGACTCTGACGGTGTGGGTTCGAATCTCGGATGGGGCTCAACTCAAAACAGTACTAGAATTTGTACTTTACTATGAAAGTGTAATCCCAAATATAACATATGTTACATTTGACCACTTTCTAAATGGCATTGTATAATAATATGCCACTGCTAAATAATATAATGTTTTCTGCTGAAATATATATATATATATATATATATATACATATATATATATACATATATATATATATATACTTGCACTTTGAAGAAAATAATGCCAAAAGTTAATAATTTCTTAAACATTTTGAAAGACATTTACAAGGTTGAAAAATTCATATCCGGAAGGAACAATAGTTTGATAAATTTTCAGACAAATGGTTTCCTTTATTGTCAATATTTAATTTCTGACTTAATCTTTAATCAAAGTCGAATAATTTTACTGGATTTCTTTATGCTGTCACTTGATATAACACTTTTGGTGAACCCAATTAACTTGGATCATGAATTTGTACATTTCTGGCTTGACTTTATATTCTTGTATTCAATTATGGGAACAAACAAATAGAGTTAATAAAATAAATATAAATAATAAAAAAAAAAAAAAACGTGTTTAATTCAATTATAATTATTATGTTAGTTGGGATTCCGACCATGCTACCCTGTCCGTTGTTAGGATCATTCTATTTGTGATCTTGCCAGTATGACAAACCGTTTTAGCTTACTCTCATACAAATCTAGATTCATTATATTTTTTCCTCTTTGACGATTGAAAGAACATCCATCCCCATGACATACACAACAAAAAGATGTGCTATTCCTCCACTTACCAGGTTTTGTACAGCTTGCCCCCGATTGTGCAGTCTTCACCCCAGAGGAGTCGCAGGTCACTTTCAACACACCGCTCCTCTGGTAGCCTTCTTCACACAAGAAGCTACGGGACACTGCTGCCCCTGTCTGGAAGGTTGGTCTGCCGGTTGGAACCCAGTGGTCGGGGACGCCAACAGTCCAGTCCCTGCATGTCGGGTCTGTAAGATACGAAATAGCAACATGCTGGAAAGCTTAACAACAAAAAACAACAAACAATGTGTGACAGGCTACAGTGAATTAGGTCATGGACAGCCACGTTTATTGCATATATGCCACATCTAGTGTTTCATAAGCATTTTTTTATGAAAACTGTTTCAGGACAGATGAACTTGTGAACCAGTCTTTCTTAGTACTGAACGAGAAGATGATATAGAAAGAAAGAAAGGGACATTGAAAGATTTAATGGGAATGTACTGTAAGTTGAACGAACGTAAACACAGTACTTAGTTACTTGAAAAAAATTGAAATCATATACGTGGAGTACATGTGTATAGAATACATGCTGTCGGTTTAGGAAGCTCAGATGCTTAATCTTTGCTGCTATTTCCCACTGTCACTAAAATTCTATTTGAGCACTGCTGAGACGTTATCAAAACAGTTGCGGATCGTCTTCGTGCAGTCCGTCCAAATTGGACAAATGGATACAAATGATCCACCTCCAGAACAGGTCCCAGACTGCAGTGACCCGCTGCTCAGATCATTCCAGGACTTTGGAATCTACCCCACAGTCAGAAACCGCTAACGTCATTACGGGATGCGACCAGAAGACTTGTAGAGAATATTGCAAGCCATTCCATAAGCCGTCAATGCTCATTTGATAGACTCTATGCGTCAGTGATACACTGCTGTTCTAAAGGGTATGCACATTAAACATACGTTCCTGCTGTTCTATAATGATTTCAATATGAACCTATTAAAGTTTACATGGACACGTTTCATTGTTGTTATAGTTTGCAAATTTAGAATGTGTTGTGGCCGGTATACATAGTTTGATAAAGAATTATCCTTGGACAAAGTCGACTGTGTCTGGACAGTATCCAGTGTATCCGTAAGACGTTGATACTAACTCTTGAAATGAGGAAAGTTTGACTGAAAATCCTCACATTAATTTCAGAAGTGAATGTATACAAAAACTTACGGTAAATTACTTCTTTGCAATTTGACTCTGATGTTACTCCTGGATCGGTGTCTTCGGAACCTGTTTTCTTTTCGAAGAACAAACAGACTCCATTGTTAGTGGTACTGCCTCCGAGACTGATGCTGAAAGTTCCACATTGGAATATATTGCCAGTACACGGAGCTGCAGTAGTTGTGGGAGCACTCCAGTCACAATGGACAGCGACTGCACAGTTCTGCAAGTCGTCCAGACAGTGTGTTTGACAGTACTTGTCATCCTTGTTTTCAACCCGTTTGATGAACGACACATCCATATTGATACCGAAGTTCATGTTCATGACGTGATTCGTACTGATCTGGCCGTATGGCGTCTTGTCGGTTTTGGTGGGATTAAAAAATCCTCCCGGTGGTGCATTTCCTGATGGAGCCGGTGCTGGAGCTATGCCTGAAACAAGAAAGACTCCTTTAGCATAATTGTAAACCAAAAGTCACCGTGTTCTTTAATCTGATTGGTTGAAAAACATGATTGAATGGTATTCGATTCCCGGAAATTGCAAGACTATTCACTGCATATTGGCACGTACAAATATCGCACACAATTATATTGTTGCGTCGTCAGCAGTGGTGACGTCATTCAAATCATATTGGGACGTAAAGTCGGAATGACGTCACAATGAGCAGTT